TTGAATCTTTTAAAGATTTTTATGACTAATAATTGATTTAAGATTTACTAAGTATAATAGAAAAGAAAATAATTAAGGATATCAAAAAAGAAATATTGGTTAGAAGATCAAAAAATTTTTTCAACTCAAATTCGAAAAAAAATAGTAGTAAATATCACTTCAAACCCATCTTCTATTTTTAAAATCTGAGTAACATGACAACTTCGCAGATATAGTAATATTTACTAAATAACAGTTTAACGCTTTTTGATAGATATTTAGGTATGTAATATTACTATAAAGCTGTATTTATTTTGTTATTAAACTTGAACATTTTACAAGATAATTTTGGTTACTAACAAATTTTTTCATACCCATAGTATAATATCGATCACGTGATATGTCTCCCATTGATGGGGATAACTGCATTTACTATAAGGATTGACGCCTTCGATTTTTACATTTTTATATTTACAGAGAACCATTTTTCTGGTTCAAATCTACATTTCTTTTTCATAAACAATCTTTTTTTGTGAATTATAATAACTAAAACAGAAGGCTTTGTCACGTAGTTTGTGCTTGTTAAAACTATACGTTTAAAGGACCACTATAACTTAGTCCATCTCAACCTAAGTGGCTTATATAATATATATGCTAAATTTTCGTTATTTTTCGTTATTTTTTTTTTTTTTTTTTCACATTGTCAAATATATTATTCATAATATATCGATATTGATATCTATTACCTTTTTTATGTAAATATAAACAAATTATTTACCGCCAATGCATAAAATTCATTTAATGATATAAAAAGAAATTTTAACGTTAACGTTAACAAATTATTTGTCAAAAATAAATAACGATAATTCACAACCAACTTTAGAATAAAAATTTTGAAGTTACATTTAATACAAACAATACTCTTACCAAAGTTTTTTTCAACTTACAAGTTTACGTGTGTCCTATTTAACGCCGTAAGTATTATTGTTAATTATATAGTAAGTATAGATAATAGAAATATTACCTTTATCATGCCTTTAATACTTATCTTCATTAAATATATTATTTCTAAAGATACTCAATATACAATATTCACAAAAAAATGAATTATGTAATTGCCAATCCTGAAAAATCATCCCAAATTTTTAAGGAAAAAGATGTTGATAAAACTGATGTTAAGTTTAACGACCCTGACAAGAAGTACGAGATTCTGGATGATGGAGAGTATAGCAACGCAGACACTTTTTCTAACTGCCCAGAAACTCCTACCACTAATACAACTGAAAACAATGATAATCACGAAACACATGACTTTTGCCTTGACGAATTTGCAATGAATTATGCAAAGGAATATGCAACTTCAATGGTTACCGATTCTGAAAAAGAAGAAGTACATATGGATTGGTTTGGATCTGACATTAATATACAATCAGAGGTAGAATCAATTTGGACCTCATCAGCGGATGATAATGAAAACACTGATTATGAGTTAAATGGTAATGGTGGAAATATGGAAAATCAATGTGTAATTATTGACATTGTTGATGGTATAATACAGCGATGTACAAATAATGCATATTGTCTAATCAAACAATTAATGGGAGTATGGGAATTAAATTATAATACAGTAGAAACATGTGTCAATGCGAATGGGCAAGAGTCTTTACATTTACTTGAAGTGTGTTCATCTCATTTTAATTGGGATCAGGATGGCGCTCATAAACGTGGCTTAAAAGGCACTGTTTCTATTAATAAGAGCTGGATACACCTACATCGATGTCTTTTTTGTGGCAATAATAAGTATTTTGTTAGTAGAGATAGTTGTAAACATCATTCCTGGAAGGTTATAGGACGTAATATGCAAGTTCCATGCTCTGATTTAAAAGAATGTCCAGTATTTATAAAAAATAAACTTTGTCAAATTTTAAACTGTACAACCTGATCTCGATACGTTTGTTCATCTTGTTTTGAAATTGAAGAATGTTATTTTTTTCAGCGAAAAGACAGAGGAGCAAAATCTTTTACCTGTAATGAGTATCATAAAAATGATACTTCCAAATCACTAGATCTCATTAGTAAATGGGTGCAAGATATAACAACCAATTCAGACCAATTAACTAAAGATATTTTACTTAAGGAACTTTCGAAAACCATTGTTAATTTTTTTGAAAGAAAAGCAGAAGTTTCAAAGGAATGTAAACTTGATGAATCTCAGACATTGCTACAAAAAAGACAAGTTCCCAGCTATATGGTAATAAAGATGGCTTTACGATTAAAAAAAGTAAACATTAAAAAATTATGTAATGTAGAACGATATTATGATTTAATTATAAAACATCCTAATGAGTTTGGAGAAGCGCTTGGATTAGTAATCTGAAGATCTCGTTTTGAAATAAAGGAAAAAAAAAAAAACTTGAATCATCTTTAATATTTGATGAATATCAGAGTGGTTTTCCAAATGTAATGCATAAAATCTTTGAAGGATTCTTAACGCTTATCCAATATAACAAGTAGAAAGTTATAAAAAAAAAACAAAAGCAACGAAAACAAGAATATAAAGAATTTGATAACACATGAGCAGTTAAGATTTCGGCTTTTATAATTTCTGTTATACTTACAGTAACATTTCCCGGAATTAATATTTGGTTGACACATGTTATGAGTAGTTTATGCCAAAAGTCACAGTTACATTCAACTTTATATGCTATTTTATACATGACTAATGTGGTTTCTTATACAGCACATTATGAAAAGCAATTAGAAAAAGAAAGACGATTGGAAAATAATTCTAATTAAAGGATTTTACGTAGTGATAATATATGGAATGTATGTGTTATAGACAATATTGACTTTAAGGAGAAAACATTTTGTTATGACAATATTTTTGATGTAGTTCGACGAACAGCACATGCAATACTAAGGATGGTTTTTCAATTTACTTTGCCAAAACCTTTATCAGAAATTGTTTCAAAAAACAGATAGTAATACAAATTTTGAATTCCAAGTGGGCATCTCCTCTTTTATAAAAGATCAGCTTCAGCAATTTGAAAAAATATTTTACCTTCTTATAGAAGGTCATAACAGAAATTTTGATGTTACCAATATGCATACAGAACTCAGAAAAATTACTGATATGGGATGCAATATACCATCACCAAATGTTGTAATATTAGAACCGGGTGATAATCCCTGCAATAATGAAAATGTTTACAATGCAGCAAAAATGTACTTTAATGATGTAGGCATAGATAGTTTAGGTCATATTGATCTTGCTGCAGATGAGGCTATATTTCGATGACTTATTTCTTTACATGAAACTCATCCAGAAATATGACCTTTACTTGGAGCATGGCATACTAATAAAAGTATGTGTACAACTTTAATTGCAATTTTTTCTGGTTATGGGATTTTTAAACTTGCAGCAGTTCTCGGAGTTTCTTATTTTGATAAATTAGAAAAGGTAGTCGACTATCCAGCTACTTATCGTATATTAGAATTAATTTGAGTGGCAGTTGGAATTGCTATTACTCTGTATGTTAAAAATAAAAATATAACAATGCAAGATATTTTTTATAGGCAAAATAATGTTTTAAAAGTCTGGTATCTTTATTTTTACTGGACGGGATTTTGAATTGAATACAAACTGGGAATTAGGTTCAGTAACCATGATATACAAATAGAAAATTTGGTAGCATTTATGCCACTTTTTCCAATTGTTGGAAGAAGCAATTATGCTCAATCTACAACTCACTTTCTTTCTTATGTTAAAAGTAATGGTAGTTTAAAAATACTTTTAGATCACGTATGTTCAGTTAATTTGACTCGTCCTGGGCATTTTTTCGCATTTAACGAAGCATTCGAATCTTTTGAAGTAAAATATATTAAACAAAATATTGGAAGGGTTTTAGAAAATCAAGAAGATTTAAAATCAAGAATTTTTTCTATTCAATCTGAACGAGAAAGAATTAACTTATTGTTAAGCGAATATGTTGGTGATACACTTCTCGTACAAAATGATCGTAATATGAAATCAAGGAAAGAAGCAATGTAGAAATTAGTAGATGAATTATATGCAGCTTTTATTTATCAAAATTCATCTGATCATGATTTATTTAAAGGAACTTCGCAAAATAATGAATAGGAGTTTAAAAGACTTTTTGAATGTTATGATATTGGAAAAGAAAGATTACATGACATTTATAAACAAGATATTGAAAAATCAAAAACTAGAATTACAATTGGATGGCGAAAACACAATATAGAAACTAATACTATTGCTCAACAAAAGAAAAAGCAAGAGAAAAAAATAAAAGTTAATTCTACTGATTCAATTACATATTCAAGAAAATGACAAAAGTTTCAGGAAACTGAGGTAGTAAATGAGCAGTGTCATGGAAATATGCAAGAATGTAAAGTCACGTAAAAAATTTTTTTTTGAATTTATTAATTTTTACATTAACGTTAAATATTAAATAAAGAATTTTACAAATTGACTTTTCATTCATTTTAAATATTTTTATCAATATAATTATAATTTTTATTAAATTTTAATAAAAACATTTTATTTTTATATAAAATTAATTTTAAATGTTTTGAATACTAAAAATAACTTTAGAAAAGAATTCGATATATATAAAAAAAGGTCAAAAATTCAAAAGGTTATTAAACATCTCTAACATAAAGTTAAATTTTATTACTTACAAAAGGCATTTATAAAAACTATATATAAAAGAGTTTTTTTTCAAAGAATCTTTTAAAGTAAATAAAAGGAGAGTTTAAAGAAAACTTTTGATGATATATTATTAGAGATTGTTGTTTCATTTTTCTTAATACACATATACATAATATACTGTTAATTATCATATCGTAATTATTAAATGCAGATCAGGTGACATTTCGCATGATCGATATGGCTTGTCTCTTATTAACATATGAAGATTGTATATAATTTTTATTGTCTAATTAAAAAAAACCTCATTCTTTATTGTTATAAACGTCGATATATTAAAAATATCGTGATCATCATGTGATTCCAAAAAGGCGCGTTGGTTATGATCATCACATCACTGAATAATAGATTTTTCGCGAATTTTATTGGTTGATGTAACCCGAACACGTGCTGTGCCTCAAATGAAACGTCTCTGATGTAATGGCACTTATTAATATATAATGGGCATGATTTTTTTTTTTGGATGTGACTCAATTTTACATGTACGCCACGACATGCACATTTTTCTCTATAAAAATTGTGCTACACCTTGCTCTGCTAGTGTGAGGGAGAAGAGTGTCTGGACTACATCGATGCGACGTGCACATAATTCTTTGACTAGGTCTGCCGATTTCGGAGCTATGTTCCTTCCTAGTCCTTACAATTAAGAATCTTACTCACAAGCTTTATGCTATATACTTTATTCTAGAACCGTTTAAAAAGGACGCAGAGTGAAGGTAAAGAAAACGAACCACCATCAAAAAAGAAGAAAGAAAAAAAGAAAATAAGTGAATTAGAACAAGAGGTAGCAGACTTAAGAAAGCAGGTGGAGACACTGAAACAACAACAACAGCTTGATGGTCGTCAACTTTCTAGCCTAAACCTTAACACTCAAAATCATAACAATGTTCAAGATGAGAATATCCAAGAGATATTGAACATGAAACCACCATCAGTATCTGCACGCCATTCAGTATTTTTCAATGAAGTCCAGAACACCTATTCAGCTATTCTAAATCATCGCCCTTACAAGTGCTTGGGACCACCTGTATTTTTTTACAATAAGGTATTCAATAAGTTCGTTACTGACTTTAGAAACGAAGATTTGCCTATTTCAAAAGAGGTATTGAAAATGGTTGATCCTCTTATTCAAGATATGTCAAAAGGTTATGATACTGAGGATGATCGTCTTGATTGTTTTGAAAAACATCTGAGAAAGATTATTTGGCCTATAGAGAAAATCAGTAATAAAGACAAAACTTGTAGCGATGGTGTTGTAACGGAACCTGTTGAATCGTTTCACGAATCTGCATTATTATTTCTGCTTGAAATAAAAAATGAGATCGGAACTGGACTTTGTGATCCTACAATACAAGGATCATTGTCGTATGTTCGGCGTTGGGCCCAAGAAAAGTTTAGGTTTTTTCGCAATTGTCCATCGATAATAATTGCTCTGGCTGGCCCGTGGATATGCATTTTGGGCTCGGTCTATCTTGAAAAAGGAATAATCGATCCTCTCACTACTTCATACCTCTGGTACCATTTCATCATTATAGTTATCACCAGTGATGTGCACTTGGAAGATTGGAAGCACTCTTGGAAGCACTCTTGGAAGGGTTGGAAGCATAATACTCTAATAAATTCATTTGGATTGGAAGCTTCCAATCAAATTTTATACATTGGAAGCATAAAATGCACATCACTGGTTATCACAGAAGGATAACACGACTATTTGAAGCATTGCTTCATGCCTTTAATTATTTAAAAAATTACTATGAAGGGCTAACCCTAAATAAAGATGTTAATTGTCAACGGTTTTATCCCTTTCCTCGAGAATACCAAGATGATAAGAAAATGAACATTTCATTTACTTTTGATGATTGGTTTACAGAAGATCATAACAAGTTTATATGGAGAGCTACGACAGATGAGCAATGTAGTGTTTCAGGCGAAACTATTTTTCAACATCCGAAACGTTTCGCCCAGAGAATTTTTCTATGATCCGAAACTATCCAAAACCTCCGAAACCCTAAATTTGGAAAGATTTTTGCAGATCAAATTGGCGAAACTAGTTTCGCCCGAAACACTAAAGCAATGTAAAATCGTTGTAAAACTAGCTCAAACATATAATGAAATAGCACATAAATTGTGTGCTGTTAACGGGTTTGCACCAAAACTCTTATATGTGAACAAAACGGTGGTGTATGGATTGTAATGGAGCTTATTGAGGGAGTGCCATTATGCAATGCTGAAATTACAGATAAGGAGTACAGTCAAACTTCTTTAAATGCACCCTCTCTAAATGCACACACTATATATTTTCTCTAAATGCACACTCTTGTTCAGTCCCAAGCATATAGAATTCATATAAAATTTTTTTCTTTAAATGCATACCCTCTTTAAATACACATTTTTTAAAATTTTCATTATGGTTCTGAGGGGTGCATTTAGAGAGGGTTGATTGTATTTGATAATCATAAACGATGTCATAAAGGTAATTCACTTGCTTTACAGTAAAAACCTTGTGTTTGGTGACCTTTGTAGCATGAACATTATACAGTTGCTACTGGATATAACGAACCTTCTGTTCCGTAGGATTTGGTTCAGTATAGGATGAGTTCGTTATATAATGCTCACTCTATATACTGAACTGTTCAGTATATAGAGTTTATTATTAGCATATATATTATTATACTGATTAATAAAATTTTTTCAAATACAAATTATCTTTATTATTATTTCATTCACATGACATGTATTATTATATTTATAAATTGCGTGATATTATATTATTTAAAATTTGTGTGATAATGTTATACTATTCAATTGTATCGTTAATATTAAAGTAATGAAAATTAACTTGCTTTAAATTTTGTACAATTAGTAGCTTAACTCGTTTATGTAATTTCCTTAAAACCTTTAATTCTTCGCTAACTTCACCAAATTCGCGTTCTTGTTCATATAAAAATCTCATAGTTTCACTTATAAATTTTTCAGCTTCTGTTGGATTAATTTTTTCCAATATAGGTATAAATTCAATTTCGTCCATATTTTCCCTTCTTTATTTGTATTTAAAACTGTATCAACAATTTCGTTATCAGTAAGTCCACCCTCTGGTATTTCATCCTCAATATGTATATATTCATACGCGTTAAGATCTTTTTTTGGAAGTTGAAGAAGTAACATATCAAGCTCATCAATTTCTATATTAAAACTAAAAAAAATAAATATGTATTAGTAAACTATCATGTATAATATTATATTATATAATATTAATTAAATTATATCTATCAGAAACTACTGTATCATGGTCTTCAAATTCATCAATTTTATTATTTAATGGAAGAATATCTGTTTTTTTCCAGCAGTTCAAAATTGTTTGTGATGACACTATTGATCATGCTTCAGCTGCATTTTGTAGAGCATCGTAGATAGTATAATCATCAAGCTTTTTTATAATACCATCCTGTACATTATCATATACATTAATTTGATTCTGAATAAAAAGACGCTTGTAATGATACTTGAAAGAATAAATAATTTCTGCATCACATGGTTGAAGTTCTGTAGTAGTATTTGGTGAAAGAAAGTGCACTTTTACACTATCTAATTTTTCTTGGGTTTTATCCAAAGATGTACTGGTGTATTATCAATTAAAAGGATAATTTTTCATTTTTTTTATTTCATTATTTCATTAAGTTTAAGAAGAACTTCATTGAAAATACTGACTTGCATCTATGCTTTCTTATTTCAAAAATAATAAACAGGAAGATTTTTGTAGTTAATATTTCTTATAATACGAGAAGTTTTGTATTTATGAATAAATGTGAAATTCATTTTTTCAGTGCCAGTTGCATTTACACAGCAAAATATTGTAATGCGCGATTTTTTTTATGACCTAATATAGGAGTTCGTGCTAAAACTCTAGAAGGTTCCATTTTTCAGAAAAGGCCAGTTTTATCACCATTCCAAATATTTTCAGAATTATAAAACGCAAGAAATTATTGTAAAGCAATACGATCATTTGCTATTGACTTAGTAGAAGGTGCACTTGTAGCTTCACCTTGCTTCTTAAACTGACACAAACTATGACATTTTTTAAAATCACATAACCACCCTTCTGAATTATTAAAATCTTCTATAGAAAACTGTCTAGCAAAATAATTTGCTTTAGTTTTTAAAATATTACCGTCAATGTCTTGTTTTGTATTAAGTGCATTATCAACCTAAATACTAAGTGCTTCCTCAAATTGAGGCTACTTTGGACTACAAAATTTTTTAATATTTCCTTGCCCTTCTAAAATTGCAAGCCAACGCTCTTTTTCGTTCAAAATATCAGTAACTGTTAACTTTCCAATACAAAATTATTATGCAAGTTCAATATTAAGAAAACTTAGATTTTTTTTTTTAATTTCACATATTTCACGTTTTTGTGCAACTAAAAGAACAACCCTTTTTCTTGACATAATATCAGAGATTTTTAAACAAAAATTTTCTGTGTTCTGATGAAAAAAAGATTATTTATATTACGATAATCTTATAAATAACTTTAAGTCACGTGATCAGTTTGGTATATCAAAAATGTGGCTAATATATTTGGTTTAGCCAACATAGTTCAGATGCGGTATATGGAATTTTACTATATAATTTCAGTATATCCAGTGTAATTAATTATAAAAAATTGGTTCTACGTCATATGGTTCGATATAACCAGTTTTCAGTATAAACAGGTTCGTTATAACCAGTGATGACTGTAATTCAAAAGGCTGATAATAAGATCCAAATAATATTATTTAAATTCGATTGTTGCAAAAAGTATCAAATCAGTTGTTATTAACCCTTAATGAGAATGAGTTTAACAATTGAAAGTCTACTTGGGGCAGAAGCTTATGCGTTATTAGATAAATCTCATGATTTATATTGGCTAGGTATACAGTATTTCAGAAAAAGATGAGCTGGTTGTTTTCTAGCTAAGTATATTGTAACAGGATTGGATTGACGAACATGGTGCAGCATATTGCAGACCTAAATGTTAGACATATCAGATATATTTGATATATTTGATATAATTGATATTTTGGATATATCGGACATATTAGATATATTTGATTTATTTGTTATATCCATCTATGTATTCATTTTAATATAAATAGAGAGCAATAGAATCATGTAAACAGTAGTTCGCTGTTAGTTTACTTTTAGTTTATTTTTAGTTTTTCCTTTAGTTTTGCTTTAGACACACGTTTAATAGTTCGTGTAGAGGCGTCTGACCTAATATCTCATCTAGTACTTTAACTCACTTGATTTTCGTATTCGTTCTTATTTTCTTATTTTACTATTATTATCTCTTATCTTTATTTTTATTATTATCAATAAACATATTATTATACCTCTGAATCAATTGAACTGCCTTGCTCCTAGTTTTATTGTGAATACACTACCGTGTAGATTATAAATCTTAAGATAAACTGAATTGAGTTGCTATGTAAACTTAAAAGAATTACCACTTGAATACCCTGTCTAACAGTCGCAATTCACAAGGATTGTACGTTAACATTTGGCGATGATGACAAGACTTCCTTTTCCTATTTACATAGTACTATGAGAAATACCCTATGAATAACTTTAGAGAATTGATAAAATACCAAATGACTCATTCGTCTATACACAACAAATCAGAACGTAACTTTAGAAAGGCTGCTACTTCTGTCCTAACTAACGATCCATCCTGTATTGCTTGTAATCCACCCTCAAAGGAAATCCCTCAATCTTTCCTCAGTTTCTTTGATTGGATACAGAAAGTCTTAGGGGTAATATTATATACTAGCAAAAGTTTAGAAGCCTTTCAAATCGCAATCTTTGCAAAAATTACTGGTGTACAAAAAATATATTATTAGCAGATACTTAAAACTTTGAGGTATAAGCAAGTACCAATACCAATCTTTGAGCGAGCTGTCGAATACTGTTTTTGAGCTCAAACTGAAACTGAATTATTCTAGAAGAAATATCAAGGTGATTTACTTAATTACCTTAATATATTCCTTTTAAGTATAAGTCGTAATTCCTCTTCGTCTAGAATGACTAAATCTCAGACAAGCTGTAGAAATAGTGTTACATCCGAATCAGTAAAAGAAAATCTGATTTCTCAGACAAGTTATCCCCCTGAGAATACTATCATTGCAGACGTTACTCCAAGTGGAAAGGATCCTGAAAAATGAACACTAAGCTTCGACAACTCTACTTTTAGCCCATATTGAGAAACTGGAAAGCCACCAAAACTAACTTATATGAAATCTTCTGATGAAGAAGAAACCACTGCAAATCAAAAGGATGTTCGCTCCTCACACTCCTCTAGATCAAAAACTGATCATTCATGAGACTCACACAAAAATAGAAAGCCAAAAGACAAGAAAAATAGTAAACCAAAGAGCTGTTGCCTTCCATCCTATTATGATAGTTCTTCACCTTCTTCTAGTTCTAATTCTGAAGATAGTAACTCAGAAAGTGATAATGAAGATTTTTTTGACACTGATAATGCTAAGGATAATGATGAAAGAAATCTCTTTCAGATGATGAAAGTTTTCAGACTGTCTTTAAAAATGTTGGATTTGGTGGATCACGAGAAGCTAAGTTTGTAGACTTACCAACATTTAAGGGCGGAGACCAAGACCCAAGAAAATGGTTGGAAAGATACAATTATGCTGGAGATGCAAATGGAATTTCTGATAAGCGATGCCTTACATTAGTCTTATCATTTTTGAAAGAATCAGCCCTTACTTGATATAATAAAACTAAGTATGAAAAAGATTTGCGATATTGGGATAATTCTTGTGATCGATAACATAAACACTGATCCTTCATTTATCACTTCTTGAAGAATTATTGTACAATACATAGGAGAACTCAATGGCATTCTGCACTTAGGCAATGCAAGTAACGTTCCAGACAATCTGTCAAAGATTATGCTACAAATATTGAATCATTATACCTCAAACTCAACCCAGACTATAACACGCCAGAAGACGAGAAAATTGAATAGTTCTTACAAGAACTTCGACCTGAGTTTTTGACTGCAGTAGCTGCCGCTGCCCTACGTAATTAGAAGAAGTAATTGATCGAGCTAGAGCTATTGAAGCTGTTCTCTTTAAGAATAGCGTTCTATCAGGATACTCTCTCAGCAAACTTATTTGAATCAGCATAATGAGGAAACAGAATGAGAAAAGATTCCTAACATGCAATAATTAATTAAGAAAAGTAATGAAAAACTGATGAAGGAAGTTAAACAACTATTAAATACTACTACCACTAACCCACAAAATGATAGTCACAGTCACCCAGCACACAATAATACCAATTGGAGGAATAGTAATAATAATAGTAATCAAGTATGTTACAATTGCAACTGACCTAGACATATTGTAGAACACGAAATAATCAAGGTATTAGTCGAAATAATTTCCAACAGAATAGGAATAATACATATCAGAATGAGAATAGGTGTTTTACCTGTAAGCGAAGGGAACACATGGCTAAGAATTGTAATACCATATCTACTGGACCCTTCCCACACTATCACTAGCTTGGATATTGGAGAAACTTATGTCCAACAAAACCAACATCAAATTTCAATAATGGTCAACTACAATCTGGTCAAACCAGTCAGCGAGCTGCCTTGTCACAAGGGAATTCTATGTACTATACTCCAAATCCGTATCTACTACCTCCTTCTTCACAACCTTCTATGACGTTTCCTTTTAGTAGTACTTTCACCACTACCAGCAACTCTTCTAATCCATCAAATTAGTCTTTAAACTACTAAGGGTACCTCTAGAGGATGAGAATACCAGTCATTATATAAATCCCTCGAATGAAATTGATATACCTAAAGCCATAGAAGTTGTCTACTGTCATGTCTTCATAGATGGCAAACCTATTTATTTGATTTTAGATTCAAGGTCTACTGGAAGTATTATGTTAAAAAATTTCTTATAACAATTAAATAGAAAAATCGAAGATCTATCAATGATTACTATGATTAATATACAAGGAGGATGCTTATGACCATTGGGAAAGTTACTAATATTCTAATTCAAATTAATAATATAGAAATTCCTATTGATGTCGATATAACGGAGTCTAATAATTACTACAGAGGGTGGACAAAAGTATCCGCATACTTTTTCACT